TCACACATGTACAGGACGTGTCACACACGGGCTGCACAGGACAGCCAGAGCCTAGGCAGCTCCCAGGCTGGAGGAGCAAACAAAGCAAGCCTGGCCCCTGCTGGCCCCAGGGCCAGGGCTCATGCTACCCAAACCACGACAAACTATCGCTGTAAGGCTTTATTAGCACGGCACAGACTCCACTGCAATAGCTGTTCAAACATTAGCCACTAATGATTCAACAATTACAGAACTCTGCGTTAATTAGTCAAAGTTTACACCTAAAAACAAATAGAAAGAAATGCTTCTCCTATTGTCTTTTTTTTTTTTTCAACAGTACTTTTATTTATTTATTTTAAAGCAGGTGATTACTTTTTCTTCTGCTCCAGAGCCTTGATTCACTTCCTGCAGGTGTCCTGCTGCTTCTCGGGGGGAATTCACTAATGCAGGAAGACATTTGCCAGAAAACATCTGTCAGAGAAGGATATTGAACACCAAGCTGTGGTCAGAGGGTTATTTTGGACAGCAGGAGGATGTCGTTCACACAGAGCACAGGATGTCCAGGGGCTTATGAAGTACCTCAGCACTTCAGCAAAAGGCTCAGCAGCTTGGGCACATTTGACAGGATTCCACCAGGATCATGTCCATTACTGCATGTGCAGGTGGAATAGCAAACACCAATTTTTCACTGGATTCATTCAGGCTGTACTTTATGATTTGCACTAATTATTCCCCTCTTAATTCTCTGAGAATGATCCCTGCTCTGAACAGAAAATGATCATTCACTGTGCCCTGCAGAGGAAACCTCATCTTAACAACCATCCAAGTCTCTTGGAGTTTCCTCACTTGGAATTTAGGATTTAAGATTCATTTTCAGGGGAAGTGTCAAAGCTATAATATTTATGAATTATTCTGGACATCTAACAGAGAAAAGTGCTTTGGGAAAGCTCTAAAATGCCACATAAACCAGAATTTAAACACTCGACACCTCCATCCTCACAAGCAAGGAATGAAGTCTCTAAAACTGCAATTTCCAATTCCAAACACAGGAAAAGTCTGTGCAACAAGAAACCACACAGACCCTTTAATGAATGAAAAAAATCAGCCGCAGTTAAGAAGCAGAAGTTTAAAAAATGCTTCAGTGAGAACAAACTACAGGTGCTAAAGCTGATTTTAAAGCTGGTTTTAAAGGCTCACACTACTGCCCATACTCTGGGAGAGAGAAACCCTCGGGTGACTCAGCAGGAGCAGGAGAGGATATCACAGACCCTGGAGGAGGTCACAAACCAGAACTTTGTTAAGAGAACTGAAACACAGAAATCAATCGACTGAACTATTTTTACACACTATCACCAGAGGAAAGCACTACACAAAGGCTGTTCTGTGCTGCAGGTTCTCCTTACAGACCAGAAATGAGGCAGAATCTTAGGCAATTTGCAGTTTCTAATAAAAGCAAAGTGGAAAATCAAGGCTTAGTGTTAAACTCTGAACAATCTAATGACCCCCAATTTAAATCCGGGGTTGGGTTGGTTTCTCTGCCTGTCCCAGCTGCAATTGCTTCTGTCTGGGGGAAATGTAGTGTTATTATGGTGTTTCTAAAGGGAGCATCATGTTGCATTCCCCAGCTGGGAAGCAGCTTATTCCAGGACTTCCTTCCCCTCGGGGAGGGACAGTTAATGCCAGGCCATTATCTGCTGTGAGCAGGAAATTATGCTACAAGGGCTCAGCTCCTGAAGCCTCCCCCTTGAAAGGCCCATTAAGGCAGCAGGGCTGAGGCTCAGCACTGGAGCAGGAGACCTGCAGGCATCCAGGTCTGTGCCAGATGCTGGGGCAGGAGCGTGGGAGGGGGGCTGGAGAGCAGAGGTGTGCAGCAGTGTCATTTCTTCAGGAACCTGGCAGCAAATCCTCACAGCATGCACACTCAGGCAAACTGCTCTTCCTGGGCCCAAAGCCAAAGGCACTGGCACAAGCCTCTAAAGTATTTTGTGCTCTCTGTTCGTGTTTGGGACACACCACGTGCTTCAGGCACGTGATTGACTCTGGAAGACACTTCCCAAACACAGTGCAACACCAAGGGGCAGAGATTTTGTTCTTGCAACATCTAGTCATGGAACCAAGCGAACATACAATTCCTCCGAGCAAAAACTCAGGGCGAAATGTCAGTTATTCCTCTGCTCCACACAGGGTCAGCTTGGGCTGTGCAGACACAGGAGCTGTGCATGGGATACCCAGAAACAACTGTTCCTTGCTGCCTTGTGGTCTAAAAATACCCAAGCAAAGAGTCATGTAGCCTAAAAGAGTCACTAAGCAGAGATAAAGCCAAACCAGAAGAAATTCAGGAGAGCAGAAAGTTTACCTTCAGTAAATAAAGAGAACTCTGGTTCTGGGGAGGGTGGAAAATGTATCTGGCATCTTCCTAACCTTTGCGTAGTTAATAAATCCTCTGAGGAACAGCAGAAAACCTGGAGGGAAGAGACACATTTGTCCAGTTAGCACAAGTGTTGCTTCTCCAGTGAGGGAAGGAGCAGGTGAGTTCCCTGTTCCTAGCACAGAGATACCTCAGACACTAATACAATAACCATTTTTGGTAGCAATGACACCTAATCCTTCCATTTCAGGCAACTTCAAACCCAAATTTTCCTTAAGCAACCACAAAACTTTTGACTCCAGATGAGATCCAGTCACTCCCAAAGGAGAAACAGAAAAGCAAACCAGGAAGACAACACCCCACTCTTCCATTTAAGATGTAAGAACAGATCCGTCATCAGTTACTGTGAGACAAGAACTGCTCCCAACAGTTCTTGTGATCATCAGGATGTTGCCACCAAGACATGGCAACGTGTTTCCATGTACCCTTAAAGCCAGAAGGCATTCAGTAAGAGGAGCAGCACGAGGGTTAAATTTCAGCTGTGCCCACAAAAACCTTAACAGCACTCACAGAGTGTTTAAGCATCTTCCCTACCAACACTCACCTAGTACAAGTAAGACCCACCAAAGCCAATACTGTCCATCAAAGTATCCAGGAAAATAGGTGGAGAACTGTAAAACAAACAGAGAAGTACATAGTTTAGAGCACATGGAGGTGTCTGAACCCAAACCTATGCCCACCAGTTTCAGAAGTAACTAGACCAGAGCTGCACACAGGAGACCTCATGGAATGCTGCATTTCCACCAGCTGCAGAGGCTGCAGAGCAAGAGACCTCCACACACTCTTAGCTGTGGAGTTTCTACACATCAGAGCAACCCTAACGTGGGGAATGGGCCATAACCTCTGGTGATCAGTGAGGCACAAGGACTACAGGGCAATACTCCTATTTTCCCACATGTCCTTGGTAGTTATAACCCACAGCTGCAGCTTCTGAAAGGGCAGACCATGCTTGCAGCAGTGCACCACCCTCACTGCACTGTAAGGTCAGATGGTACAGAAAACACGAGCTGAAAAAGAAATCCCAGTTCTGTGGAATCCTCTGACAAGATTTCCAATTGGGAAAATTACTGCCTATTGAGTGAAAGGCAGAGACACTGCCTGAGCACTTTACCAAGTCACTGGTAAATACACTGTCATTTCTGTGGTTTAAAAACTCTAACAAAAGACAAACTTGTTATCAAGTTTTACATCAAATCCAGAGTTAATGTCACATCTCTTCATCCAGCAAATAGTCCTTAACACCACTGTTACAAGATGACTCTAAAAATTGTCTGCAAAAGAGTGGAGAGATGCTGTATGTACAAATTAGAACTCCTAGCCCCAAATGATGAGGTATGAAGGGACAACCCTGACACTTCTGCTCTCTACTTAGGCACAGCTTGAGCTTCTTCTCTTGAAGCTCACACTTTCAGATTGGGATGTCTGTGTGCCACCTTCTCAGAGGTTCCCAATAAAGCTTTCCTGATGAAAATGTCTTCCCATGCCTCAAAAGAACATCAAGCCCAAGAGAACAGGTTGCTCCAGTCTCCTCCTCCTGTGCCGCAGCAATGTCACACCAGAGGGCACCAGCGACCTTCTCCCACTGCCACACTGCAGGGCTCCTCTCCTCCTCCAGCCCAGAGCAAATAAGACCCTGTGTCCCCCTCCTCATCGGCGACCCCACACTGAGAGATGTTTTTCCCCAGGGGAGCACCTCCCTGTGCTGAAGGCAGGGCTGGCTGCACATGGGCAAACATTTCACATCATCCTGCTGCTCACACACACCAGGTCTTGGGCCAGCACAGTGGCTCTGCACACAGAGCCACGCTAAGAATACAGTGGCTCTGCACACAGAGCCACGCTGAGAATGGATCCCAGAATCCCAGACTAGTTTGGGTTGGAAGGACCTCAAAGCTCATCCAGTCCCACTCCTGCCCTGGGCAGGGACACCTCCCATCAGCCCAGGCTGCTCCAAGCCCCATCCAACCTGGCCTGGAACACTTGCAGAGTTGGAGCAGTCACAACACAGCCCTGACTGCAATCTTTATTTTCTTTTACTGCAATAACAATTCCAGCAACTTAGCAGGACAGAATCATGAAACAGCTCTGTTCTCAGTAAGTGGCTTGAAAATTATTTCATTATAAAAATACTCAAATTTATCACTGACTTCAGTACAAGGGAGATAAAAAACAGTTGGTGAAACAGAGTACCAGTGTCTGTGCACATCGTTTTGCACCACACAACTTACCCTGACAATAAGGATCCACTTAATAAGAGACAGCCCAAAGCCAGAAATGGCCCCGTATCGTCCTGCAGCTGAAGTAGTCAGACAGAAAGACA